TTTCTGCTTCATAGATGGTGGTCCATACTGAACAAGACAAGCTTTTCAATAATGAAGGTGTGACTATCATAGGTAATAAGAGTGTTTGAGAATGATCTAGACGTGTCTAATCTTATGGCTTTAATGTTCAAAATAACAGCTTATCAATTCTATTTATATTTAGAACACATTGAAGTATATTTGCATATCTTGCTTCTTGTAGAATTTATGTTTGAGGATAAACCTTTTCTGGAGAACTGCCAGTACCTTTTAAGTTAAAAATAGTTTAGTAATCATTAAGAACCAGAATGAGTTCTTTAGTAAAAAATTCTTGCCAAGAACACCTACCAATTTATCATAGATACATGGACCCCTGGTGGCAAAGTGGTTAAGAGCTCAGGTGCTAACCAAAAGGTCAACAGTTCGAATCCACCAGCTGCTTCTTGGAAGCTCTTTGGGGCAGTTCCACTCCGTCCTATAGGGTCGGTATGAGTAGGAATCCACTTAAGAGCACACAACAACAAATATATATATATATATATATGTATATATATATATATATATATACACACACACATATTCTTTGGCTTAGAAGTATTAGCAATTCCTGTTTATCTTGTAAGATGAACTAGTTTAGTTGAAATTTGTTAAAAGTGTTGATAGATGGAGAGGTTACCCTATACATCAAGTGCAATTATTTCTGCAAGATATTTTTAAAAACTCTCATAAAACAGCATTATAGATTATAGGAGGTTTGCAGCTAGGTGAATAACCAGATAGAAATGAAGTAGGTTTGCCATATCGTTGTACCTGTCCTATATAATCTTTTCATCAATAAGCTGGGTAAAGACAGGAGTTACTAGGTGAATGACAACATTCAACAAATTCAAAAAAGGATTTATTGTGCCTTCATTGTGTCTCCTGGCATATGTGGACAAATCAGGGAGGAATGGTCAATACAATTGAATGAGGATTCATAGATCCACACTGAAACTCTGAATCAAAACTAGTGTTATGGGTTGAATTGTGTCCCCCAAAAATGTGTGTCAACTTGGCTAGGCCATGATTCCCAGTATTGTGTGGCTGTCCACCATTTTGTGATGCAATGTCATTAACCTATGTATTGTAAATCCTAACTTCTATGATGTTAATGAGGCAGGATTAGAAGCAGTTATGTTAATGAGGCAGGACTCAATCTACAGGATTAGGTTGTATCTTGAGTCAATTTCTTTTGAGATATAAAAGAAGAGAGTAGAGAGAGAGAGGGACCTCATATCACCAAGAATGAAGAACCAGGAGGGGAGTGCGTCCTTTTGACCCTGGGTCCCTGTGCAGAGAAGCTCCTAGACCAGCGGAAGATTGATGACAAGGACCTTCCCCCAGAGTGACAGAAAGAGAAAGTCTTTCCCTGGAGCTGGCACCCTGAATTTGGACTTCTAGCCTCCTAGACTGTGAGAGAATAAATTTCTGTTTGTTAAAGCCATCCACTTGAGGTATTTTTGTTACAGCAGCACTAGATAACTAAGACAAGTAGGAAGAAAATAATGCAAGAATTTCCAATAAAATTCCCGGTCTTAGCTTAAAGAATCAGATTTTGAAAGTAGAATGGAAGAGATCGGCTTGATCTTTTGTTTCAAGGTGAGTGAAAAGTATAATGGAGTGACTTAATAACTTTAAGCATCTGTAATGGTGGTCAGAGCACACCTGAAGTGTCAGCTCAATTCTGGGCACCTCACTTAAAACAGGTCCTTGAGAGCCCTAATATGTTCATCTTACATAGAGGGGAGTCACTGATGCCGTCTTAAGTTTATGGTGCAATAATTAATTCGTAAGTATATTCTTTAAAATTATAATAACCGATAGGGCTAAAAAATGATTAGACTGGGAAGAATGGTTAAAACAAAGGAGAAAAGGAGTGTAAGTAACTTTTTTTTTCCAGAGGAGAGAGTCAATAGATACATGATTAATATACACAGAAATTAGTATACACAGAAATATATATATGTATAATGATATTATTTAATGTTATGGAGAAAACCATAACCCAGGAAGAGTTAAATAAAGGAAGCTGTCTCTGAGGAGTGGTCTTGGGTGTTGAGAGGAATGTGTTGGGAAAAAAGCCCATTGGTGCTATTTAATTTTAAATCACGTGTATGCACTAAGATTCCCTGGTGGCACAAATTGTTTGTGCTCGACTACTAACAGAAAGTTTGGGTTCAAATTCACCCAATGGTGCCGCAGAAGAAAGGCCTGGTGATCTACTTCCGTAAGATCACAGCTATTGAAAACCCTATAGAGTGCAGTTTTACTCTGAAACACATGGGGTTGTCATGAGTTGGAATCACTCTAAGGAAACAGGTTTGGTTTTTTAATTATGGTTTTTAAAAGTAAACTAGGTCTCAGTGGCCATCCTTCCCTGGACAGAAAGTGGAAACAATGACAAAGTGAAAAGATATCAAGAGTCATGTACGATGGAGTGGGATCTAAAAACTGATATCAGGGTAGTTGAAGGAACTGGGATCGTTGACCCTGGAGAAGACAAGTTTAAGAAGAGGCTATGTAGATGTGGGAAAGAGGGTAGGATAAAATCAAAAGATAGAAGAGGATGTCTTTGAGCATATTTTATAATAACTGTAGGAATTCCTATCCCGTAGATTTGGGGTTCTGTTGATATGCATGAGGTACATGTGTGTGTCTATGAAACCAAAGAAATTATATGTAAAATTGTGTGCATATGTAGTATTTGTATTGGGCTGCTAGTGGGGGTAGGGACAAGCAGAACCATCATTTTCAACAGATTTTTTCCCAAAGGAGTTTATGATTTAGAATAGGTTAAGAACTAGGTTAAGAACTATTCAACTACAGGGCCACCTGCCTCGTGGGGTAATGAGCACTCATTTAAACAGAGACATCTCTTATAGACAATTTAGAAATAATTTTCACATTGGGTGGGATAGATAAGTTTATCTGAAAAAATCTTCTCTGCTCTTAGCTTCTAACATTTATACAGTAAAAAATAATAAAATACAATTAATAAAATAAGTATTGTACACTTATTATGTGCTGGTCCTTATGCTAAGTGCTTGACATGGGCTCTCATTTAATCCTCACAACATCTGGATGAGGTAGGTGCTACATTAAAACACTTGCTGGAGGGCCCCCTTCTGGTAAGGGGACTGTCTTAGTTATCTCGTGCTGCCATAACAGAAATACTACAAGTGGGTGGCTTTGTTGTTGTTGTTGATAGGTGCCATCAAGTCGGTTCTGACTCATAATGATGCTATGTACAGCAAAACGAAACACTGCCGGGTCCTGCACCATCCTCACAATCATTATGCTTGAGACCACTGTTGCAGCCACTGTGCCATCTCCTTTTTTTCTCTGACCCTCTACTTTACCAACTGTCATAGACTATATTGTGTGCCCCAAAAATATCTGTCAACTTGGCTGGGTCATGATTCCCAGTATTGTATGATTGTCTACCATTTTATCATCTGATGTGATTTCCCTATGTGTTGTAAACTCTATCACTATGATGTAATAAGACGGATTAGCAGCAGTTATATTGATGAGATCTACAAGATTAGACTGTGTCTTAAGCCAGTCTCTTCTGAAATATAAAAAAGAAAAGCAAGCAGAGAGACATGGGGGCCTCATACCACCAAGAAAGCGTGCTGGGAGCAGAGTGAGTTCTTTGGACCTGAGGTTCCTGCACTGAGATGCTCCCAGACCAAGGGAAGACTGATGACAAGGACCTTCCTCCAGAACCAACAGGGAAAGAAAGCCTTTCCCTGGAGCTGGCACCCTGAATTCGGACTTCTAGCCTACTGGACTTTGAGAGAATAAAGTTCTCTTTGTTAAAGCCATCCACCTGTGGTATTTCTGTTATAGCAGCACTAGATGACTAAGACACCAACCATGATGTCCTTCTCCAGGGGCTGGTCCATCCTGATAACATGTCCAAGGTACAGATGAAGTCTCGCCATCCTCGCTTCTAAGGAGCATTCTGGCTGTACTTCTTCCAAGACAGATTGGTTCGTTCTTTTGGCAGCCCATGGTATATTCAATATTCTTTGCCAACACCACAATTCAAATGCATTGATTCTTCTTCAGTCTTCCTTGTTCATTGTCCACTTTTTGCATGCATATGAGGTGATTGAAAATACCATGGCTTGGGTCAGGTGCACCTTAGTCCTTAAAGTGACATCTTCGCTTTTCAATGCTTGAAATAGGTCTTTTGCAGATTTGCCCAATGCAATACATCTACTTCCATTTCTATTGCTACTGCAATTAATTACCACAAACTTGGTGGCTTACAACAGCTCAAATTTATTATTTTACAGCTCTGTAGGTTTGAAGTCCAACATGGATCTCACTGGGCTAAAATCAAGGTGTTGAAGGAGCTGCATTCCTTTTCTGGAGGCTCTGGTGGAAAATCTGTCTCCTTGCCTTTTCCAGCTTCTAAGTGGTTGCCTACCTTTCTTGTCCCATGGCCCCCTTCCTCCATCTTCAAAGCCAGCAGCAAGGGTAGAATCCTCCTCACACTGGACCACTTTGATATACTTTTCTGTCTCCCTCTTCCACTTTAAAGACCCTTGTAATTATTTTAGACTCACCCAGATAATCCAGAATAATCTCTTCCTCTCAAGGTCCTTAATTTAATTACATCTTCAAAATCTCTTTGCTCAGGTAAGGTAACATATTCACAGGTTCCAAAGATTACAGTGTGGATCTCTTTGGGGGTCCATCATTTGTTCTACCACAAGCACCTGCTAGGTGCTAGGCATTATTCCCTGGTAAGATAAAACACAGTCCCTTTCCTAGAGTTGCTTACAATTTGGGAGGTATTTAAACAGACTTAAAACACAAAATAATACGTGCTGTGATAGAAGTGTAGCCAGCTGTAGCTTTGTAGGAGAAAAAACTCTCTGCCTCAGACCAATGCTTAGTTAGAAAAAATTATGGCTGAAAATCAGAATTATTCTTGAAATAATCACATGGCTTTATCACTTTTCATCCAGGTTTTGAGACTCTGGGATATTCAACACCAGCTGTCCATCCAAAGGATAGCTTGCTCTTTCCCCAAAAGTCAGGACTTCAGATGCCTCTTCCACTTTGATGAAGCTCACGGACGCCTTTTCATCTCATTTAATAACCAGCTAGCTTTGTTGGCAATGAAAAGTGAAACCAGCAAGAGGGTGAAAAGCCACAAGAAAGCAGTCACTTGTGTTCTTTACAATTCCATCTGGAAGCAGGTAACAGTGCTTTTCTGCCACTCTCCTGACACACCCCACGTCCTGTGTCACCAGAGGTTCATTTCATTAATTCAACCGAAAGTACATCTGAAGACAAATATCGAGAAAAACAAACGTGGGAAAGAAATGATTTACTAGCCATGTGCTTTTCTGCAATAATGTGTGTTCAGGTGGGTCTGAAGAGTGATTTCATTTTCAAGCAGTGCTGATAGAGTTATAAGGAAGTACAATTTTCCAGCTAAAACAAACACAACATGCAATGTAACTGAACTTACCTTTGGTATCAGCTAGTTTGGGTCTCAATGCCAAATGCAAGTGAACTTGGCTGTAAAATTCTCTTTTATGAACATCATCCTCCTGTATCCCTGTGGAAAGTTCTGAAATATGCATGAAACATAATTAGCAGAGATCCATTTTGCTGGCATATTTTACACCAGTGGTTCACAGTGGCAGCCTGGAATGTATTCATAATAAAATGATTCAGTTAAATGTGATGCCACTTGGTATGCAGCACGGGTGTTGTTTGTCTCCCCACCACTTTAATGACACTCTGCAGCCCTTGCTTATGGGAGCACTACCTGCATCTAAATGAAGAGGCATGGCTTCTCTGAAGCAGAGATGCTGCACAGACCAGAGCCCTTCTAGAAGACAGGGAGGTCCAGCAAGGGAGGCCACAGGAGCATGGTGTGGGGCAGCCTGTGGGTATCATGGGGAGAATGGGTACCATTGTAGGTTAGTCTGCTGCAAAGATTACCTCAGGCCTGGTAGTAACAGCACAGTGGGAGCCAAACAGAAAGCAAGTATCCAGCTTGCGGCCAATTAAACAGTAATTCCAATCCATTCTTTCTTTTCCCTTCTGCAGAAGCTTCTGCATTCACGCAGAAATGAGGAGTTCAGATTTTGTGCAAGGGGTGGAGAGCCCCTGTCTTGGTAATGAGTAGTGTGTCGTGTCACTACTTCAAACACTCTGTTTTCTGGTTACCGTCAGAGATAAAAAATCCTTCACAAGACAATCCATTTTGCATTCCATCTGTGGGAAACATTCCCTTGTAAATGTTTTACTGAACTTTACGAGGGCAACCAGATAATTCGGCTCCCTGGTGGCCACTGAGAGATGTATATGTTTCCAGGAGAACATTTTGCTAATTGAGATTTGCAAAGTTAAAAAGCTATGCTTGTGCTTAGCTGCTAAGATCCTATGTTGCCTGGCCATAAGATGAGCAATATTCCATGCGGAATTCAGGAAGTGGGACACAAAGAAAGTCTGGAATCCTCCATTTGGGTTATAAAGATAAAGCTGAAGCAATGAAAATATATTTAAGTTATAGGCAACAATAGAATATTCACATATGGTATATGATACAGGAAGAATCACTATACGATTGAGTTGGGTATTCACACCTCTGCTTATTGTTGTTAATTGCTTAAATAATTAATAGCATGAATATACCTGAAGTACATAGAATTGTGCATCACATACATGTTTCCTAAGTATTAACTGCCAAACTATGGAGAAACATTACATTTATAATTATAAAATTATAATACAGAAAAGTACAAAGAAAAATAACATCACCCACAGTTCCATCAGCCAGAGATAAGTTTCGTCATTTCAAAGTAATTAGACAAGACAAACAGAACAGATTTGAACAATGACCAGGTGCCAGGAATGGGGAATTCAAAAGTGAATAAGCTACAGTTTCTTCCCCTTAGTAGTGCAGGTGACTATGAGTTCCCTAAGAGCAGAGTCCAGGTCCTATTCCCAGTGCCCATTGCAGGTCACAGAGAAGGTGCTCAGTACATGATGGTGGAATGAAAGAGGTGGAGACAGACCTTGTTGTTGTATGCTGTCAATTCCATTCCAACTAATAGTGACCTTATAGGATAGGGTAGAACTGCCCCATAGGATTTCCTAGGCTGAAATCTTTACGGGAACAGATCACCAGGTCTTTTCTCCTGCAGAGCAGCTGGTGGGTTCCAACCGCCGACCTTTCAGTTAGCAGCTGAGTGCTTAACAATTGAGCCACCAGGGCTCAGGATACAGTGGAATAAGATGAAGTAGAGGTAAAATAAAAATGTTATCTATGGGAAATGATTAATTCTGCCTGGGACTAGGGTGGGTGACATTTCAGAGTGGCCTGGAAAGATGGAGTGGGAATCTCTAGAAAGGAGCAGATACAAGATGAGCAAATACAAGCGGGTTCGAACACTCACAGTGTATTTAGGAGAAGAGTGTTCATTTTGGTGTAGCTAGTTTGTGGAGTATTTAGAAAACACTGTGGGACCTGAGGCAGTAAATGGAGCCTAGAGCCAGACTGTAAAGGTTATTGACATGTACCACAGTCTGGACTTGGAAAAATAAAGCATAGAATTAAAACAACAATTCTTAAAGCATGATCTGGGAACCCTGAGTGACCTAGCTCATTCAGGGGTCAAACTATTTTCATAATACTAACTCATTGTTGGCCTTCTCTAATGAGTGTACAGTGGAGTTTTCTAGAGGCTACATGATGTCTGATGACATCATTGCTCTGACCACTAATGGAGCATGTGCTTATATATTCTTGTTTTAGTAATTTCTCAGTTTTAATTTATAATATAGTAAATATTTATATACATAACCCACATAAATGAAAGCTATTTGAGTTCTTCAATAATTTTTAAGAGTGTAAAAGGATCCTGAGATGAAAAGGTTTGAGAACTGCTATGTGGAAATAGACAAAAAACAAAAGCTATAGGAAGGAAGCCAGCCACCATCACTTGTATTTGGCAGAGAGTCCAAGGTGGGAAAAAGGAAAGACTTGGGAATGGTCTGAGTGAAGGCTTTGGCATGGGAAAGCTGGAGGTGGGCTAACTAGAAGCTGGGCATCCTATGTGATTGGTTACTAATTCTGACTCACGGTGACCCCATGTATTGCAGAGTAGAACTGCACTCCACAGAGTTTTTAAGGCTGTGACCTTTTAGAAGCAGATTACCAGGCCTTCCTTCTAAAGTGTCTCTGGGTGGGTAAAAACTGCCAACCTTTCAGTTAGTAATTGAGGGCTTAGGCATTTGTATCACCCAGGGAGGGGAGCATATTTGGTTTTCTCTAGTTGGTCCTAAGTTGGAAAAAGGGGACAAAAATTAAAGAAGTTGTCAGTTATTAATCAAATCCTGGCCATTTGGGGCTCATTGTTATAAAGACTGTTTGGCTTCTTGGATCGTTGTTTGACTGCAGATAGTGGTTTGACTGCCTGGGCTGGATGCTGCAGGTTGGGGGTCAGAGTTCCATTTTTAAATATGGTCTGACCATTGTCCATCTGTTCATGCAGTCTCCCAGCTGGGTATAGATGTTGGACTGGTTACTGAATTTTTCGTTTTACTGACTTGTAAAAACATGTGTTTGGGGGAGAAGGTGAGAATAATAATGACAACAACATTCACCTCTTCAGCATTGCCTTGCTAGGGCTAGCCTCTTGAATGCAGTCCTCTGCCTCCCGCAGCCAGTCCTAGGAAAATTCCTCCAGCTCTCCCACACCTCTTAAGTTGAATGTTGCTGCTTTGTGATGCCTGCTTTTCTTTTAAAATTCTTGGTATTCCTTAGTTTTTATTTTAAGCAGGTGTTATGTGAAAACAAATGTTAGAATTAGAGAGGGAGACCCCCTCAGTTTGGGTTTGTCCTCAGCTTGCTTCTCCTCAGCAACGCTCTTTGAGGTGAAGAAGTTGTTGATCCTCCTCCTTTCCTTAGCCACAGCAGTCGTTCTTACAAAAATTCAGTTTCAAAGCTCAGCTCCAGTTCTCTCAACTGCCTGTAGTCTCAGGGACCTCTCCAGCCACACTGGTCTCTCCCTTCTCTGAGCATCAGTCACCTTTCTAGTTGTTTTCCCAGTTAAGCATTTAACTAAACTCTTATTTTTCTCTCCTATATTTTTGGTGTAAGGGAAAAATCCTTGTCTTCCATTTTCACATCTTCCCACACACAGCTCCTAACACTCTTCTGAGCACAAAGTGACTGCTCAATTTAGTCAGTTATTGCCATTTCTCATTCTCAGTTCCCCAGCAACCCATGCTTTTTCATAGCTCTTAGGTTGGCTCTTGCTCTTAGGTTACCTGGCTTGGTGTCCTTCTTGAAGATTTTCCCTTTGTCTGAATTTAATGAGCATCCACACTTTTGTTGTCATTCCAACATGTTGCCTCCACTTCATTATCATTTCATTCTGTTTGGACTTCACGGGGACCTAACCTAATCCCTTTATAAAGCAACAAAGCACATTTCTGTGACTTCTCCTTTTCTCCCTGCCTTTTGGTACCCTCACATCCTAATCTAAGAAATTGGTGTTAAGGCACGCAAAGCCTTTTAGAAGAAACCACATACTTTATTTCACCTGGCAAAGCTTGCCCTCACAGCTAGTGGCAGAACAAGCTGGGGCTGGATGAGAGAGTCTCTGGAATGCACACTTTAAAAGAATTAAGGTAATGCAAGTATCCTGGAAGCAGTTCTAACGAACTCTCTTTGCAGCAAATTCTTAAATGCAGCTCTTCTTAAACACTCATAAGTGTCAGGAAACTTTAAAAAATTATTTCTAGGTTTCACATAAACTGGAAAAGATAAAATTTCTGAATTATCACTGTGGTCCTCATTTTAATAACATAAGTTTTTGTGTAAGATGGGTAACGTTTCAATTTGTTTTACATCTTGGACATGTTTATAGTCAAGCTAGATATATTGGCTTCATCAAATTTTGACAGACTAAATGATAATCACTATTTTTATTATTGAAGTAACTGTTTCTTAAAACATTATATATAAAGCATTATACGCTTACTGTGAGAAATTAAAACAATGCCATAAAGCTCAAATAAGGAACTAAATATTGTTGAAATACCAGGATGTTCTTAACATCTCTCTATGCATAGACTGTTTTACATAAATATCATTCTGTAACTTATCATTTATTGAAATGTATTTCCTTGTACCTCAATGTACATCTACTTTACCATTTTTAAAAAGCTATACAAT